CGCCTGCCTGCCCGCCAGGTACCTGGCCGAAGGGCCCGTGCAGCTCCCTCCAGCCCACGATGAGCTGCGCCTTCTTCTGGCCGATGCGCTGCAGGCCGCGCAGGTCGCGGGCCGAGCCTTTGTTCAGCAGATCCAGTATTTTTTGGCGCCCCAGGGCCAGAAGCTCCGGGCTGAGCTCGAGGTCCCAGCAGTCCTCGCCCTGGTCGGGCTGGGAGGCCGGTGCCTCGAGCTGCGAGAGTGACAGGGCAGGCGGCTCAGACGCCGCCGGCAGGGCAAGACCGCTGCTCACTTCACGCCACAGTGGCCCCCCTCTCCCAGTGAAGGGGAGACCCAGTGACGTGGTAGACATAAAGCACAGAGCACACTCTTACACCTCCCGCCGGCTAGGAGGTGCAGCCCCACTAGAGGTCCCGGGCTGGAGGAGATAGCACCGCCCCCACCTTGAGTCCTCACAGTTGTGGGAGTGCTTCTAGTGGTAGGTCTGTCACTTGGGGTGTAGTGTGGGTGTGGGGGGCAGTACTGAGATGGAGGGCTTAGGTCATACTAAGTTTGCAGAGGGGGCAAGAGCCAGGCTACTGAGTGGGCAGACATCCTTCCCGCTGGATCCAGCCACACCACTGCATTTCTCCCTAAAGGCTGTGGAGGCACCATCACCCCATGTAGAGCTGTAACTATTGGAGCTAGCAGGCTGTGAGATAAGGCCGGTGCTCTTCCCCTAGAACTCAACACCCCGAACTAAATTCACCACCCCTAAAGGGTCCTGGCTGAAAATGTAGCGTGGACTCCCAATGTCACCTTTCTCTTCCGGCCTTTCTTCTTCAGGATGTGGATCGTGGCATTTGGAGATGCTGCCTGTTCCTGAACTGAAAGCAAGAATTGCAAGTGAGCCAGATCACAAGCTCCCTTGTAGCTACTAGCTTCTCCTGAGATCCCCTCCACTCTTTTGTATGGTCAGTCCTGGGACCTGAACTCAGGGCCTAGGCCACTGCCCCTGAGGTTTTGTGCTGAAGGCTAGCACTCTACCACTAGAGCCACAGTTTCACTTGGGCTTTTTTTGAAGTTTTCTCCAATTAACTACCAAAAAGCAGGAAAGCAGGGCTCTCTTGCTCAGGCTAACTTTGAACCAAGATTTTCAAATCTCAGCCTCCCAAGTAGCTAGGATTACAGGCATGAGCCATTGGCAATCTGCTTGAGTTAACTTTTTGTGGCTCCCACAAGACCAGTAGGTCTCAGTTGCTCTGGAGTTATAATCAGTCTGCCCCTGACTGTTCTTTCACACCAAGGGCAGAGCCCCAGTGCTCCTTCAGATCGTCCTCAATCCTCCTTAGGGCTAGCATGTGCTAGGAGGACATGAATAACATGAGGACATCCCTCCCTCATGGACATGGGTTTTCTGGGCCCCGCTTACTTACGTAGCTGTAGGGGCATTACCACAGCCTTTTTCAGAGGCTTTGCCACTGTGACTGTGCGACCGGGAAGGGGTCGGAGCATTGTAAGGGTGCAGTTTTCCTTCCCCTTTGGGTGTAAAGCTTCCTGAGACATCATCTTGGCTTCCAGTTCTTTTTGCTTCATCTTAAGCCTCTGTTGGAAAGGATCGGGGAGAGATGTGACCCAGATCACACTGCATGGCAGCTGAGTAAGAAGGTGAGTAATCAGAGCTTCTGAGGTTGAAGAAAACAGGGATTGAACCAAATAGAAGAGGCTATTAGGAAACAGATGGAGACTGTTTCTAATGACCAGGGGGCTGTCTAGCAGTGGAAAAAGACTCTGGAAATGCTGAAGAAAGATTTGTTCTCAGCATGAGCTAGGTTTTTATGTAAGGTTTTGTTTTTTGTTGGTCATGGGGCTTGAACTCTGGGCCTGGGCACTGTCCCTTAGCTCTTCAGCTCAAGGGGAGGGCTCTACCACTTGAGTTACAGCACCACTTCCGGCTTTCTGGTGGTTTATTGAAGATAAGAGTCTCTTGGATTTTGCTGCCTGGGCTAGCTTTGAACCTCGATCCTCAGATCTGAGCCTCCTGAGTAGCTAGGATTACAGGCGTGAGGCGTGAGCCACCAATGCCCAGTTCTTTTATTTGGTATCTTTCCTTTTACCTCTTCACATCAAATTGTGATTCTTTTTCAGAGTTCAGCCATGTCAAGGACATTTGAAAGGCAGTAAACATGCAGTGTTGGGTGAATACTGGACTCCAGATAGCAGTCCTCTGTGTCCAAAGAGCCTAGAACTGCTTCTCAAGGCTATAGGAATCCTAGCCCACCTTACTTCAGCACTTACTTCAATCTCCAAGTCTTTCTGCTCCACTGTCTTAATGAGCTCCATCCGCTCCCGCCTGGGGGTACTCAGGAGAGAAGTCCCTTGGCACCCCTGGGAGCCCAGCAATTGGTCCAGATTGAGGAGGCGCTCTAGCATGGCTGGGTCCATGTTGCTTAGCTTCTGCAGGGGACTTAGCAAAGAGGTTATAGTTATTCTCTATCTTCCTTCTATTTCACCAACAGGACTCTTTTTTTGTTTTGGTCAGCCATAGGACTTGACCTCTGGGCCTAGGCACTGTCCCTGAGCTCTTCAGCTCAAGGCAAGTGCTCTACCACATAAGCCACAGCGCCACTTTGGGTTTTCTGGTGATTTACTGAAGAGTCTCACATTCTTTCCTGTCCAGGCTGGCTTTGAACTGCGATCCTCAGATCTCAGCCTCCTGAGTAGCTAGGATTACAGGCATGAGCTACTGGCACCCAGCTTGAGATCCCCTTTTATCATGTCTTAACTTGATAAATCTTGTTCAAGAACCCTAATGTTCATTTGCCAAGCAAGTCAAGCAAAAAGCAGGTCTTGAGTTCAAACCTCAGCAATGGCACCAAAAGAAAAAGATGCACTGTAATTATATATAGACATGTTGAACTGAAACCTTTTTGTACAACTACTTAAATAAAAAACTTTTAAGTCAGTTTGATGCCTCCTTTCCCACAATGCCTAGTTTGTGCAGCTTCTTTGCTCTACTGTGAATTAGATTCTCAAGACTGTCCTGCTCTTCATGTGTAAATGTGCGGAACAAATGCTTTCAGTAATTTTTTCCTTGGGGCTCACAGAATAAGCAGATTCCTCCCTAATTCTCTCTAGATTATCTACCTGGCATCATACACACATGTTTTTACATTTCCCCTTGTGAAACATAAACCCCTAAGGCCAGAGCCTATCTAGGTCAGACACCCCATCTTGGAGTCTGTCCTAGGCTATTGCCTTTTTGGCAAAGAGTTTGCCTATTCAAAGTAATGTAGTTGTTTCAGTTGTGTACAAACTGAAGGGATTATTGGCACATGCTTAGAAAAGAACAGAATGACATGAGGCTATGAGTGTATTAACACTTTTTGTGTATAGCATCTCCCTCAACTAGAACCAGCCCCCTGGAGCAGAATTGTACACTTAATTCTTTTTTTTTGGGGGGGGTCCGGTCGTGGGGCCTGAACTCTGGGCCTGGGCGCTATCCCTCACCTCTTCAGCTCAAGGCTAGCACTCTACCACTTGAGCCACCTTCCCAGCCCTTGTACACTTAATTCTTAGCCTTCTTGGGTCACTTCTATTTAGCATTTACATGGTTTAGAATTTTTTTTTTTGTCTTGTCAGTCGTGGGTGTTGAACTCTGGGCCTGGTGCTGTCCCTCGGCTCTTCAGCTCAAGGCTAGCACTCTACCACTTGAAACACAGCGCCACTTCTGGCTTTTCTGTTTTTTTTGTTGTTGTTGTTGATTGTGGGGCCTGAACTCTGGGCCTAGGCACTGTCCCTCAGCTCTTCAGCTCAAGGCTAGTGCTCTACCACTTGAGCCACAGCACCACTTCTGGCTTTTTCTGCTTATGTGGTGCTGAGGAATCGAACCCAGGGCCTCATGCATGCGAGGCAAGCACTCTACCACTGAGCCAACCTCCTAGCCCATGGTTTCTAGTCTTTAGGATAGTGGTAGAAACAAGGCAAAACTAACACTGCAACTGACTCCTTGGAGTCAATGGCGATAGAGAAAGCAAGACTACTGAACAGAGGTGATTGAGCATCAGTATATACTGGGTATGAGGTAGAGTGATCAGAATTATACACTAGGCACTGGACGGGGAGGCTATTCAGGATCTCAGAGAGGCTTCTGGCTTCCCTAGACCCCTAAAGCACATGGGTACCCAGAACCTTTGCCTAAGGGTTGGGAATTATTAGGCAATCATGTATATTCCCCAGAGCTCACAAAGAATAAAGGCAGCAGATAAAAGCTGCCATTTTAAAGTTTTTAACTCCCATTTCCTGCTTGGGGAGTAGCAAATGTTTATTATAATAAACTCACTTTCCCACTTCAAAAAAAGAGGCTTCCTTAGGATGGCGGGTAGAAATACAATTATGTTAAGACAACCACCTCCTTGAAGACCACCCTGCTGTAGAGGGTGGTCTCTAGCCCAGAGAGGTCTGGACACATCTCTCCATCTTCTGTCTCCTTTGAGTTGCTATTATCCTTGACCTGAAAGATCTGATCCAGAAGCAAAAATGCTCCTTCAGATGTCTCAAAAATGTGAGCATTTGCTCATGGCATAGAGATTAGAAAAATGAAAAGAGGGAGACCAGAGGTGCAAGAAAGAAGCCTCTCTGGGTTCCCAAGACAGCAATATTGAGTATAGGTACATCTTGCCACTTTAGTGAATTACATAGAGGAGGACCTGGAATTAATTCACTGGGCAAGGAACAAGTTCACAGTTGTCTCAGCTGAAGGATCTGACAGGCTAAACCCACAACTGCTACACAGACATCCCAGCTCTACCTGCAGGGAAGGAGTACACTTGAGTCCCTACTGCTTACCTGAGCTTCTGGGAGGCAGAGGCAGGAGCTGCTGTGGGTTCAGGACTCTCAATCTCTTCTTCCTCAGAACTTCGGGCTTTCTTTGCCTCTGATGGGCCTAGCAACTCTTTCTGGGACAGCTTAACAGGTGCCAAGGCTAGGGAAAGATTGGAGGAGATATAAAGGGGAATAGAGTTGTCAGCCTGGGCTGATACATGGTAGCTTCAGAAGACTCTTCCTCCAAACATGGCCTTTCCACTCCTGCCTACCCTGGTTCTCACCATGAGGCTGAAGGCTTTCATTGGTGAAAGGCCTGTTGATCACCTCCTTGGACCTAGCAGCAAAGTTGAGTGCAGAGACTGTGTCTAGATAAAAGCGTCTTTCAGGGGCAATGTTGGCAATGAGGATGCTGTGGGCTGAGCCACCCAGAGAGTCCTGAGGGGTAGAGAATGAAGTGGATGGATCAGAATCTCAATCTTCTCATTGCTTGGTTGTTATGCTCTTGCCCCGCCCCACCCCCAGAAAGCCTCAGAACCACCTCATCCAGCCCCTTTTGCCCGGACATGGGTGGGCCTGACCTGCAATAGTCGAGTGAGCTTGCTGTCCCTGTAAGGCACACGAGGGAGGCCCTTGTTCAGTGCATCCACCACCTTGCCCAGTACAAAGAGAGAGGTATTGATGGCTCCACTCTCTTTGAGCCGAAGGCCCTGGTTGCCAGTGCGCCTGTTGTCCTCTGAGCCAGCCAAGTCAATCAGGTAAAGTTTTCCTTCTCGCTGGCGAAATGGGGCCAAACGCTCCCGCTGATCCACCTGAGGGATGGGCAAGAACCCCAGGCTTAGCTCAAGCTCCATGGGCCTCCCAGATCCTCACCTGCCCTCTGTCAGTGGGCTTCACCTTGACTAAGAGCACTGCATGACTGCGGGAGGAGCGCTGATTGAGACGGGTAGCTCCTACAGTCCGGTTTCCACTGGCTGGCAGGAAGTGTCGCTCAAAATCAGCAAAGCTAGTGATGGGCTTCTGCGTAAGGCCTGGAATCAGGATGTTTCCCCGATAGTCTTCTCGGATCACTAGGTCTCCTGATGCAGGGTCCAAGAGGTCTAATACCTATTTAAGCAATGGCAAGTAAGGCTAATTCTTCATGTATAGGCTGCTTTACTTCTAGAGACCAGTCTCCTTTTTACTCTGTTGACTTCCACAGTTGTACCACCTGCTACTCCAACTATGTCTTTCCAAGTCTCACCTAACTTCTTTACTAGAGAAGAACCTTGTCTTACTTTTGATATTTTGTCTCCTCCATCCCCAACCAGAGGTAGGCTTTACCTTTTCCTGGTAGATCTCTAAGTAGGACATAGTGACAGAGAGGTCCCATGGCCGGCCCTCAGCGCCTTCCTCCCTTGTGAGCTGTAGGAGGTCCATGAGAGCCCGGGGAATTACTCCTGGTTGTTCTGGGCTGCCCAGCATTGTATGTGTCTTTCCTAGGTGAAGAGTACAAAAACTAAAGTTTTCTTCTTTTCCCTAACCCTTTTTGGCTATGGTTGTTCCCTTCAGGCTTTCTTACCTGCCCCAGTAGGTCCATAGGCCAGCACGCTGGCATTCTGCCCTTCCAGCAAGTGCCTTAGGATGGGCTGCACTGAACCTGCATAGATATCCTGCTGAGAGCTCCTCTCTCCATAGAAGGCATCAAACCTGGAGACAGGAAGATTGGAAGGCATTAACACAGGATTCTACTGATACCCAGACTTAAAAGATAGTTGCTTCAAATTTAAAAGAAAATATTCCTTATACAAAGACTACAAGTATCCACTGAACACATACTGTTCTAGTCTCTACTGGAGTTAGGGAAAGTGAAATGAATCTGATAATGCTCTTGGAGGATTAGCAATCTTGTGGGACAAATACCTATAGCTCATTGTGACTCAGGAACTAAAGATGAGAATGCATTAGAATAACGAATTTTGTTGCAGGAAAGATGGAAATATAGCCAACAGTCAAGACATGGTGTAAAAAAATGGACTTTTCAATCTTTTTTACATGCAGCACATATAGAAATATCTGCAAGCCAGGCACTGGTGGCTCACACATGTATCCTAGCTACTCAGGAGGCTGAGATCTGAGGATTATGGTTCTGTGAGATTCTTATCTCCAATAAAAATGCTCAGAAAAAGCCAGAGGTGGCACTGTGGCTCAAGTGATAGAGCACTAGCTTTGAGCAAAAGAAGCTCAGGGACAGCACCCAGGCCCAGAGTTCCAGCCCAGGCCTGGCAAAATAAATATAAATAATAAAAAAAAAACATATCATCTGCTTATCAAAGAGGTAAAAAAGATGACAGTGCTTATAACTGATCTAGATTGAAGACAACTGTACACCTATTCACTGCATTCCATAGGGGAAGCTATGGTTTAGATTACAACAGAAAATTTAGTACATATTGATAAGTAAAGCTGTAGAGAAATTGAAGCCAAATTATTAAGGGCCAAGAATTAAGAACCAAATAACTTTTTGCAAAGAGACAGTAAATACTTTCAGCTTTGTGGGTCATGTAGTTCTTTTCAAAACAACTTAATTCTGGGACTACTCAAAAGTAGCTACAGCCAGGTGGCTCACACCTGTAATCCTAGCTACCCAGGAGGCTGAGATCTGTCTTATAGTTTAAAGCAGCCAGGCAAGAAACGTCTTGAGACACTTATCTCTAATTAACTAGAAAAAAGATGGAAGTGGAAATGTAGCTCAAGTAGTGGAATGCCAGTCTTGAGTTAAAAAAAAAAATCTTAAGGAAACAATGCCAAGGTCCTGAGTTCAAACCCCAGTATGGGCAACAGCACCCCCACAAAAAAAAAAAAGCAGCTATAGACAATATGTAGATAAACAAATACAACTTTATTTACAAAAAGATTCCAGAGGCTTCCCAGCCCCTGGCTATGTTCTCTCACCATACATCCCCCAGGCAATTCTTGTGACTTCTCTCATCCCCTTTGTAGTTTTATGTCTGATTCTGCTTCCAGTCTTTCCCTACAGTATCTCACTGAGGACCTATCACTGTGTGCGCCACAAATATATTCCAAACAAATGAAGGTTCAAAAAACAAGGCTGTGTTAAGGAGGGAGCAGAATCCTGGAAGGCTAGTGTGAGAAACTAGGCAGTATATAATAATGTGAGCAGACCTAAGAGAGGGATGGAAGAGTGGCCTGAACCTTACTGGTATTTCAGAGTCTCTTGGTAATTCCTCCAGTTGGCAACCTCAAGAGAGCAGCTGTCTAAGCCTCGTACGCAGGGGGGTTCACTTGCTCCAGCTGCTCCTTCCACAAATGGCCGAAGTCTCACAGCCACCCTTACTCGAGCTGGAGGTGGACGTCGGCCACTCCCCATCTTGCTTAGACGACAGCGACTAGCCCCTGAAGGAGAGAAGATGAGTTTTAAGCATGAAAGGATGATGGTAGCAGAAATGAAGCACTTTCTACCCTGAACATGCTGTGGGCACACCTCAAACTCAGCAAAAACAGCAGGTTGAGTGGGGTGCAGAGCAATGTTCACAATCACCTGGGTGATCTTATTAAAATTTGGATTCAGTGTTAGTTCCTGGAACAATATCTGAAGATTTTGCTTCCTCTGTACAGGGATTTAAACTCAGTTTTATACTTGCTAAGAAGGTGTTCTACCACTTCAGCCATTGCCCCAGCCCAACAATGGTTTCTCTTGATGGAAGGAAAGGGAGGATTATGTGAGTGAATGTGTGTGTTGTTGTTATCTAGTTCTGTAATGTTTTTCATTAAAAAAAAAAAGATACCATAGATATCTTTCTTTGGAAGGGATCAGGTTGAAGAGCAGTCCCCAATAGTTTCCTGTCCTAGTTCACTCTGTAAAAGGTACTGATATACAGCTCATTTCTAATAAGCTTCACTTGCTTCTGATGACTAAATCTAAGCCATATGAAAAAAAACAACAACAAAAAAAACCAAACACAACATATGGATTCTTTTGATCACCAGAAAACATAATGAAGATAAAACTAAAAACAAACAAATAGCTGGGCACTGGAAGCTCATAGCCACCTAGTAAAAGCAGCCCAGGCAGGAAATTACATGAAACTCTTATCTCCAATTAATCACCAAAAAGTCACAAGTGGTACTGTGGCTCCAGTGGTAGAATGTTAGTTTTGAGGAAAAAGCTAAAGGACAGCACTTAGGCCCTGAGTTCAAGCCCCAGTACTAGAGCATACATGTGCATACCTCTTACCTCAGTTTCCTAGGCATTCTGGTCCTAAGATTACAAGCATGTGCCACCATGTAAGGAATTGACTCTTTTTTTCCTTTCTTTTTTTTTGGGGGGGGGCTGGTTCTGGGGACTCCGGTCCTAGGCACTGCCACTGAGCTCCTCTTGCTCAAGGATAGTGCTCTACCAATTGAGCTACATCGCCACTTCCAACTTTTTCTCAGTAGTCTGTTGGAGATAAGGGTCTCATGGATTTTCTTGGCAGGGCTGGCTTCAAACCGTGGTCCTCAGATCTCAGCCTCCTGAGTAACTAGATTACAGGTGTGAGCCACTAGTGCCTGATTGATTCTTTGTTGTTGTTGGTTGTGGGGCTTGAACTCTGGGCCTGGGCACTGTCCCTCAGCTCTTCAGCTCAAGGCCTGTACTCTACCACTTGAGCCACAACATCACTTCTCCTTTTTTGTATGAAAAATACAGCAAGAGGGTATCTTTGGCCTTTTTTGGGGGTTGTTGGTCATGGGACTTGGAACTCTGGGCCTGGACGCTGTCCCTCAGTTCTTCAGCTAAAGGCAAGTGCTCTACCACTTGAGCCACTGTGCCACTTCCAGTTTTCTGAGTGGTTTTTTTTGGAGATAAGAGTCTCACGGACGGGGCTGGGAAGGTGGCTCAGTGGTAGAGCGCTTGCCCTGGGTTCGATTCCTCACACCACATAAGCAAAAAGAAAAAAGCTGGAAGTGGCGCTGGCTGTGGCTCAAGTGGTAGAGCGCTAGCCTTGAGCTGAAGAGCTGAGGGACAGCGCCCAGGCCCAGAGTTCAGGCCCCAGTACCGGACCCAAAAAAAAAAAAAAAAAAAAGAGTCTCACGGACTTTCCTGCCTGGGCTGGCTTTAAACCAAGATCCTCAATCTCAGCCTCTTGAGTACCTAGGATTACAGGTGTGAGCCACGGGTGCTCAACCTCTTTGGCCTTCTTTATATCATTAGGTGTTCTTCCCATTCAAAGCCTACCAACTTTTTTGAAATCCACTTCAAATATTTTCTTGTTTTTATTTTTTGGTCTTGGTATTGGAACTTGAACTCAGGACCAGATGGGCACTCTACCACTTGAGCCACACCTCCAGTTCGAAATATCACTTTCTAAATGAAGCCCCCCAGCATATCCAAGGGTATATATCAGATTCTACACTATAGCAGCTTATAGATACCATCACGGTTATTACACTTGTTTATGAGACCGCTGAAACAGACTAAGTTCTTCTAGGGAAGGAGCAAGGGCACTTTAATACTTCCCATGAATCAGTGGGTCTAAGAAGGATGAAGGGAGCTTATGTCTAGGCAGGAATACTTGTGCATAATAGTTAAAGGGCAGAAGTTCTGGAATCAAATTGCCTGAATGTGAATACAGGCCCCAATATTTACTAGTTACGTTAAATGTGAGCAAGCTATTTAACACAATAATGCCTGGCTTCCTCGAATCAAAACAACCTGATAGCGTTCTCTGCTGGGCCTGGGCACTTAGCAAGGAAGGGCTCAATATGGGTTAGACATGCTCCTACATGTTTTTGTTTCCCCTAGGAGCCTGAGGACAGGAAGGATGATCACAGACCCAATTCTCCACTACCGGCTTGGGCTGGCTTTGAACCTGGATCTTCAGATCTCAGCCTCCTAAGTTACTAGGATTAGACGCATAAGCCACAGATGTCGGGCTTCCAACCCTTTTCTGTGATCACAGCGCCGCGCTTCCGTCGCTGTCCACTCGCACCTGCGTGGTGTGGGCCTCTCAGACCCCTCCTGTATCCCCACAGATCTCCGCGACACCCCCTAATCCACCGCCAGCTTCTGGCTTCCCACAGTGAGGTTAGAGCATCAGGTAACGGCCGGACATACAGCCACTATCCTCACTTTGCAGACGAAAGTGAAGCTCACAAAGGGAAAGGTTGAAGCCAAACGCTTGGGCCTGGCGGGGCGTCCACTTAGGTCAACTGACCCCGAGTACAGCACCGGAAAACAGCGCGGCACGGGCGGCCTGACGCCCGGGGACCCCCCGACCCCGCCCCGCCCTGGACTCTCCTAGACAGCCGCGGAGCCGGGGCCAGACGCCGACACACTGCCCTGGGAGGCTTCTAATCTTCAGTACTCCGTTTCGCCTGCGTACCTGAAGCGGCCGCCGCCATCTCGCGTCGCCTCAGAGGCGCCGAGGCCTCGGCGTCCATTCCACACCCTCCCGAGGGCCCGCCTTTCACATTCGAATTTCGCGGAGCCCCGCCCCTCTCCGGGGCACCACCAATCACCACTAGGCGCTTCCGGAAGCCCGAGCTGCTGAGCAGAGACTATCCCGCCCTCTCGGGCTCACTTCCGGATCCTGCGGAGGAAAACCAACCTCGGGCGGAGGATGCGTGCGCTCTCACGTTGGCGGCGCAGCTGTTGACGTCAGCGCGCGCTCGCGGGCAAGGCCTGCGCGCCTGACCCGGGAGGTTTCTGCGCGCTCAGCTGCCTGCGCCTCTGGCCTTCGTGCTTCCAGGCCTAGATGTGCGTTAAGTGTACACTTTTCGCCTCACAGCTACAAATTGGTGCGAGTCACACAGCGGCCGAAGGCGTGTCTCAGCGCCCCAGAGAGCGTTCTCGCTGCTTTAGTGCCAACCGGGAAGATGCTGTCTGGAAACCGGATTGTTCCAGTCGACTGTCTTCATTTCCTGCAGTTTTTGTCTCCGAGGTCACTTGACGATTCTGCGCATCGTGGGTCGTTTTGTGGATTGCAGGATTTGAGTGCGAGTCCACTGGGCCACAGCCTCTGGGCTGGGCTGTTAAGTTTGGACCACACTGGCTGGATTGTGGACACGCACCTTAAGCCTGCCCTTTGCATGTCCCCTTATGTCGCCTGTCCTGGCCCAGCACACTAGCTCAGCGCTCCTTACTAGGTAGTGGGCCTGCTTGACACCCAAGGTCTGAGGTCGACAAACTGTTAAATAGTTCTCCATCTCTTCTGGAAGCTTAGCCAGGGATGATATAAACTAAACTTTTGAGTTTTACCATTATGAGCCACCCATCAAAAGCGGTTGGCTTCATTTGCTATTCTAGAATCGGGTAACATTCATTTTATATGATAAAATGAGTGTTCCAATGACCCAAATACAAGAGGTTCGTTTACAAGCATTGAAAGAGGAGCTAAAGAAAGAAACAGGGCTGGGAAGGTGGCTCAGTGGTAGAGCGCTTGCCTTGCATGCCTGAGGCCCTGGGTTCGATTCCCCAGCACCACATAAGCAAAAAGAAAAAAGCCAGAAGTGGCGCTGTGGCTCAAGTGGTAGAGCGCTAGCCTTGAGCTGAAGAGCTGAGGGACAGCGCCCAGGCCCAGTTCAGGCCCCACAACGGGACCCAAAAAAAAACAAAAACAAAATGTGAAGCCAGGCGCTGATGGTTCTCACCTATAATCCTAGCTATGAAGAAGGTTCAGATCTGAGGATTGCAGTTCAAAGCTAGCCAGGATAGACAAATCCAACAGACTCTTTTTTTTCTTTTTTTGTCGGCCGTGGGGCTTGAACTCTGGGCTTGGGCGCTGTCCCTCAGCTCTTCAGCTCAAGGCTCTACCACTTGAGCTACAGCGCCACTTCCGGCTTTCTGGTGGTTTATTGGAGATAGGACTCTCACGGTCTTTCCTGCCTGGGCTGGCTTTGAACCACGATCCTCAGATCTCAGCCTCCTGAGTAGCTAGGATTACAGGTGTGAGCCACCAGCGCCCGGCTAAATCCAACAGACTCTTATCAACAAGTAACCACCAAAAATCTGGAAGTAGGGGTTGGGAAGGTGGCTCAGTGGTAGAGTGCTTGCCTTGCATGCATGAGGCCTTGTGTTCGATTCCTCAGCACCACATAAGCAAAAGAAGCCGGACATGGTAGAGCACTAGCCTTGAGCTAAAGAGTTGAAGGACAGCGCCCAGGTCTAGAGTTCAGGCCCCACAACCGACAAAAATAAAAAAATAAAAATAAATCTGGAAGTAGTGCTGTGGCTCATAGTGGTAGAGCTCCAGCCTTCAGTGAAAAAGCTCAGACAGCCCCCAGGCCTTGAGTTCAAGGCCTGAAAAACACAAAACAAAAACCCTTCTTTATTCTCATCTCAGAAAATGACTTCCTTCTCTTCCCAGTTAGCTGGTACTCCTTTACTCACAGTTAGGAATTCAGTTATTAAGTTCCTCAGTGTCTCCCTTCTACCCTCAATGTTCCAAATTCTTCATGGTATTACTGTCTTTGTTCAGACATTCATCATTCTCTAGTCCAGATTTAGTTTATTAACTACCTTCTTTTTCTGTTGTTGGTCATGGGGCTTGAACTCGGGACCTGGGTGCTGTCCCTGAGCTCTTTTGCTCAAGAGTAGCACTCTACCACTTTGAGCCACTGCACCACTTCTGGGTTTCTGGTGGTTAATTGGAGATAAGAATCTCACAGACTTTCCTGCAGCAGATGATTTTGAATCCTCAATCCTCAAATCTCAGCCTCCTGAGTAGCTAGGATTACAAGCATGAGCCACCCAGTGCCCAGCTACTAACTACCTTCTTATTCTGCTTTACCTGCAGTCTTTTCTCTACTTAGCACAGAAAAATGATGCTTTTATAGAAATATTATCAGTTTTCTGGTTAAAATTTTGGTTCAGGGGGGCTGGGAAGGTGGCTCAGTGGTAGAGTGCTTGCCTTGCATGCATGAGGCCCTGGGTTCGATTCCTCAGCACCACATAAGCAAAAAGAAAAAAACCGGAAGTGGTAGAGCGCTAGCCTTGAGCTGAAGAGCTGAGGGACAGAGCCCAGGCCCAGAGTTCAGGCCCCACGACCAGCAAAAAAAAAAAAAAAACCAAAAAAAAACAAAATTTTTTTTTGGTTCATTGGCTCCCTATAGGCCATAAATGAAAGCTTAAAAGTACTCAGTATGATATGATATTCATGATGCCTGCCTTTTCATGGCGTAAGCATTATGCCCACAAAGCTTTGGTCCTCAGCTCCACCCAGACCTGAGCTCCTCCCAGCCCTTGACTTCTCCCAGCCCTGGAGTTCCGACATACAGCTGGCCTCTTCCTCTCTCCACCCAGACCCACCATAGCTCCCATCTACCTCACTTCCTACCCCCAGACTCCCTTACTATGGGGAAAGGGGATAGGGACAGATGTCATGTGCTCCCACTCCAGGGAAATATGTCTCCTCAAACAAACTTTGTAATAATCTTTCTCCTGTGTCTACCTGCCTACTTGTGGATGTATGTGATGGATCCATTCACATGGGGCTTCATTCTTTGCCCAGATGCAAAATACATCTAGTTACCCACCTATATTTGGATATTTCCTTTCCCTTCCCTTCCCTTCCCCTTTCTCTTCCCCTACCCCTTCCCCTTCTCCTTCTCCTCCCCTCCCCTCCCCTCCCCTCCCCTTTCCTTCCCTTCCCTTTTTGTCTTGGGGCCTGCTCTGGGCCTGGGCACTGTCCCTCAGCTCTTCAGCTCAAGGCTAGTGCCCTACCACTTGAGCCACAGTGCCACTTCAGTTTTTTCTGCTTATGTGGTGCTGAGGAATTGAACCCAGGGCCTCATGCATGCTAGGCAAGCGCTCTACCACTGAGCCAACTTCTCAGCCCTTTTCTTCCTGACATCCAGCCCTCCATTTCTGGGCTTTGTTCTTGCTAAGCACAAGTTCTACCACTTATCTATACTCTCAGCCCTGTAGTTTTCATATCTATCTATTTTTACATAAGCTGGGCTCTAGTATTGCTCACCCACACATAGCACACACACACACATATATATACACACACACACACACACATTCACACACATCCCTTCCTCCACAAAGTCTTCCTTGATACCCCCCAGAAAAATTTTGGTTGGTTACTTCTTTGGGTGCCAGCCCAAGGATTGGAATTGAGCTTCTGGGCACTGTCCCTGAGTTTTTTTGCTCAAGGATAACACGTTAACACTTGAGCCACTGTTCACTTCTGGCTTTTTGGTGGTTAATTGGCGATGAGTCTCATGGACTTTCCTCTCCAGGCTGGCTTTGAACTGCAATCCTCAGATCACAGCCTCTTGAGTAGCTAGGATTACAGGCATGAGCCACTGGTGCCTGGCAACAATTTTAAATATTTGATTCAGCAATTTTTAAACTTTTTTTTAAGTAAAAGATATTTTTCTTCAAATACAATGTTTTAAAGAAACCTTCTATGTAGAATAGACAAAAGCCAGGACCTCCATTCAGTCAGTCATTTAATCTGCTGTGGTAGCTTTACTTAATACAGTGTGAAAACCACTGGTTTGAAGGCTATCATAGACCCAGACATCTGATTTGTCAAGGAAATCTGTTATATTAAGGAATAAAATACTGAGTTCCATAAAAGCATACTAAATAAATGAAACAGACACAAAAGCCCACATTATTCTATTATTCCATCTACATGTAATGTGTAGATTAGGCAAATATAAACAAAGTAAATGACTGGTTACCAGGGATTTAAGGGCTTCCTTTTGGGATGCTGACAGTATTCTGGAATTAGAGGGATGATGGCTAATTAACCTTGTGAATATCCTAGAAACCATTGAATTGTACACTTTAAGGGTATGAATTTTGCGTTATATATATCTCAACAAAAAAAATTACAAATTACAGTGGCATAATCTGCTCCATGATATTAGATGTGTAGAAGAAATAAAGGAATTTGATATAAAGTAAAACAGAGTAGTCACAAGTTTATTTCTTTTTTTTTCTTTTTTTTGTCGGTCATGGGGCTTGAACTCTGCCTGTGTACTGTCCCTCAGCTCTTCAGCTCAAGACAAACACTCTACCACTTGAGCCACAGTGCCATTTCCAGTTTATTGAGTGGTTTATTGGAGAAAAGAGTCCCACAGACTTTCCTGCCCAAGCTGGCTTCCAACCATGATCTTCAGATCTCAGTCTCCTGAGTAGCTAGGATTACAGGCATGAGCCACTGGCGCCCAGCATGTTTATTTCTATGTTAATATTTCTTTATATAATTGTATGTGACTATTATCTTTGCGTAACTGAGAAGAAATGTGATTCTCACAGTTTCTGTGAATAAATCTGTTGGGAGCAATGAGTAATTGTCTGTCACTACCAACCAAAAGCTCTTCTTAGTATTCTAGGACTAGGAAGTAGACGTTCTAAAATTTACTTCCAAAGCAACGTGTGTCTTTGCCTAAATCTATCCGGTCACCTTGATGTTTTTCTGAATTCTAAAGAACCCCTTA